CCCCAAAACCCCAAAACCCCAAAACCCCAAAACCCCTAAGGAGGGAGATATAGTTGAAAATGGCATTTTGAGGTGGGAAATTTGGGTTGAGGGGGATTAGGGAGGGGAGTGGAAGAGAATGGGGCATGAGGAGGTTGGAAGGGTTTTGTTTGTATGATTTTTGGGAGTAGAAGTATTTTTAGAGCTATAGAAAGGTTTAATAGAGAAGATAGCCTTAAAAATATCAACCTTAAATTTTCCAATTTTCAGGGTGAGGAGTTTTGAAACCCCAAAAAGAGAAGTAGAGCTATTATCCACCCACTAAAAACACATACCTACAAAATTCCCTCCCAATAGCCCTCTTAACCCTAAAAATCCCATTATCATCTTTCTACCCCATAAACCCCCTTCAAGAACCCCACACTCTCCTCAAATTCCCTCTTCCCAGCCCCTCATCCAACCCCCTCTTCCCAACCCTCCTCCCCCTCCCCGCCACCTCAAAGACACTATCTACAGTAGAAAGACTCCTTCACAAATTCTTAGCTGGAAGCTACCCTGGCTGCCTTCTTCGAAGAGAACGAAAGAAGGGGTTTTAAGGCAAGGTTGGACAAGACCGTGCTGAAAATTTGGTCTTTGGGAGAAATTTAGGATGAAGAGAGGAATACAAATGAGTGGATGGAAATGGTAGGGTTGTGTTTGGTATTGGGAAATCACGGAGATGGGAAATAGAAGAAAATTTGATTGAGAGTTATATTTTTGGGGAAATATGGATCTAGAGGGTTGGGTATTTTATAGGATTCTTTTCTATTGATTTCGAAAATGTGGAAAATAAATTGTAATGAACCTTATGATAGAGTAAGCTCTAGAACACAAAAATGATACATTAACTCTTTCTTTTAGCCTGAAGAATCAAGCATATTCATCATGTAAATTAGTGATGCCTAACGAATGGATTTCCTGATTATTTTCAAAGAAATTTATTGATCAAATTAAGCTAGCTACACAGAGCTTGGTTCAGTAAGCAAGCTCTTCCTTGATCTCTTCAAAGATTCGTAAGTTTTACTAAAAATTAAGAGTACGCTCTTACTTTAATTCCTCTTATTGTGTTTTGCTAATAACTTTATTCTTGATATTTTTTCGAGAACCTGAAGTAGATTGTCCAAAATAATTCTCTCTAAAATCAACTGTATCCTTGGAGTCTGAAACCTCTAGACTTGGGAGTTCTGCTATTGGCATTTTCTTTCCCACTTGTTCTATATAAGTTTTAAATTAATACTGCAATTTTAACCAGGTTTCCTTATATTAAAAACATTAACCCATTTTCCAAATTTGAAGATTTCGATTTTATTATTTTTCAAAAAAGGATAAAGTATTTAACCACAAAGTCAAAAAAGTACAATTGAAAGTTTTGGATATTAGACAAGATTAGGATTCCAGTAGCTTAAGTCCAAAGGAAAATAACTTACTAATAGTATTCATCAGCTCATGATTGTTTAGTTCTGAGTTAAAAGTGAAGTCAGAATACTTCACTTCCTTGTGATTCTCGTCTACGTGGGAAATATATCTGATTTTAATGTTCTTCTTGAGCTTAGCTTTAGACACTTTCGCCCTATCATATGCAATTAAGCTGTATCCTGTGTAAATGAATAACAAATAAGCATAGATCCATGTGTCATAAGTTCCCATGAGGAGGTTGAACAGGACAATGAACATACCATTCAAAGTGACAAAACAAGCAGCCTTAGCTATCTTCTTTTTTGAAGTAAAGTAGATGAATGTACACACATTAAAAGTATCCGCGATGATTCGGAAAATCCAGATAGTTGCAATTCTCATGAGCCCTAATTGATATGTATAGCTAAAGAATGGAGGACTTGGAGCAAGCCAATATTGGAATGAATAGTAAGAAAAAGCCAGAGCAGTCGCCGTAAGTGAAGCCCAAAAAGCAATGTTGAATATTCCTAGGTTCCCTTTCAACACGGCAAATCTTAGAGAAATAGCACCCATCGCTGGGTACATAATCTGTATTATCAAAAAGAAATTTTTAAAGAATCTATTTTCGTCTGTGATATTATACAAAGTAACATAAGAGAGGGCTGGTAAGATGCAGAAGACTCACCCTGCAATTTTTCTGGGTGTCCATTTGTCAAGTCCTAAGCCAATTAGGTACATTAGCACAAAAGCTGGAAACAAGGGCTGGAAGAGCATCATAAACGGGAGAGTGAAGAAACTGTTATTCTTTGAATTTAGCTGCATGTTAAGGAACATATTAAGAGATCCAGCAACTACAATAAAGTGAAAATCTTTATTTCCCTGGAAATTTCAGTTGACCCTTCAAACATGCAAGCATGAAAGTAAAAACAGTAATCCATAAGTGCCTGTGGAAGAAAGTCAAGCTTCTTCTTGACCCTAATCTTGTGTTCATAATTGGATTAGAGAATTGTGCCATACCTGCATTCATCAACTGGTTGAGTAGCATTAAAGCGTTGATCATTCCATCAAAAGTAGTGAAAGAGACTACCAGGTTCTTACTCACATTAGATATCTTCATTTTTAATGTGTCTATAAGTTTTATAGTATCTGGGGTTTTGGGGTTTTGGGGTTTTGGGG